GCTAGGAATGTATATGAAACATACTGAATATAGACACAGCCAAGCATCTAGCATTTTCAGAAAAACCTCCTGAAAATGCCACTTGCCTGCAATATGCACCCACAGGCTTCAATACTTTGAGCTGCTGACTCAGAATAGTGAAGCAATGTGTTGAAACCATAGTTAGCTGGTTAACCATTAGCCTACAGGGCACTTATACCCCCTTCCTGCCCAGGCCAATTTCCAGCTTTCAGCGCTCTAACATTTTGTATGACAATTGCGCGGTCATGCAACACTGTACCCATATGAAATTTTTATCATTTTTTTGTGACAGATAGAGCTTTATTTTGGTGGTATTTAATCACCTCTGGGTTTTTTATTTTTTCTTAAACAAACCAAAAATCACTGAAAATTTAGAAAAAAAAAAATATTTTTTCTTAGTTTTTGTTAAAAAATTTTTGTAAATAAGTGATTTTTCTCCTTCACTGATGTGCGCTAATGAGGCTGCAGTGATGGGCACTGATAGGCTGCACTGATGGACACTGATGAGGAGGCACTGGTAGGTGGGACTGATGGGCATTGACAGGCATCACTGAAGGGCACTGAAAAGATATGGCACTGATAGGCGGCATTGACTGGCACTGATAGGCAGCACTGATAGGTGGCACTGACTGGCATTGGTAGGTCGCTCTGACTGGCACTGATGGGTGACACCGAAAGGCAGCTCAGATGGGCACTGATATGTGGCACTGACTGGCATTGGTAGGTCGCTCTGACTGGCACTGATGGGTGACACCGAAAGGCAGCTCAGATGGGCACTGATATGTGGCATTGATGTGCACTGGTAGGCACTGGCAGGTGGCATGGATGAGCACTGACAGCTGGCACTGATGCACACTGACAGGTGGCACTGCTGGGGCTACACAGATCATCAGGGCACACTGATCATCAGTGCCCTGATCATCAGTGCACATGTCCCCTCTGAGGGATGCCGATTACCGGCTCTGCTCTCCTCAGCTCGTGAAGAGAGAAATGCCAATAACCGGCATTTCCCCATTTACATGCGATCAGCTGTGATTGGACACAACTGATCACATGACTGAGCCGACATCTTCGGCTCTTTCTGTTGATCGGTGATCCGATGTGTCCGAGGGACACAGAGCACCACCGAGCGCCACGCTGCGCGCTCCCGGAGCCACGCATGCGCGGTTAGAATGGGACGACAGCATATGACGTCCTCCCCCAGAACGAGAGAACCTCCTTGCACCCGTCATTTCACTATATGGCGGGCGGGAGGCGGTTAATGAAAATTGCACATGCGCTGTTATTTATGCCTTTTAAACATGCCATTTGAAATGTTAACACTATAAAACGACTGGGGGTTGCTACACCCAGTCTTGCTACTATCATCACATACATCTTTTTTAAGGAAAGTCTCTATAATTCATATAGATCGGCTCCAACACCACCGTGTTTCTTAAGTGACAATCTCCACATCAGACTACACATTCACCAGAACATGGTGCCAATTAGGCATAACAATAATCCTCCTCTTGGTCTCGCAATCTCCAACACAAATAATGGGTCCAATTGATCTGGCTCATAAATATAATGCACAAACGAACCACATAGCGTAATTCCGTAATTTTATTCTTTATTAACCCCCATAAAATTCCACTTACATAAAGATAAATAAGATTTGCATCAAATAAAATAGTAGGAGCACTTATCACCGCATGTGATAACCAGCTGGCGTCTCACCACACTTCCATGCACAGCCCGCTGTTTCACTTCCGGGTAGGAGAGACAATGTCACATTCAGTAAATGTGCTGATGTCACTTATGGTCACGTGCTGATGTCACTTATGGTCACGCCCTGACGCGTTTCATCATCACAACTTCCTCTGAGGGTGTGACCATATGTAGCAAGAGATTGCATTTTATAGTCTGTCCATACCAACTTTAACCATTTTTTAATCACTTAATCTTTAATTCAGATGAACATCTGCCCTCTACTGGATAAAATGACCATATAGCAATCTAGGGTAAAAAACACTGTCCCTTCCAATGTTATAGGCATAAAAAACATTCATTATTAACAGTTTACATAATATACATAAATTCATGCTACTATTAACATTTTAAAATGAAATCACATATTATAACAAAACAATCCAACTTATCTTTTGAAAAAATGGATGGTATTCATACATTAATAAATTGCTTATAAAACAATTAATATCAATCTCAACATTTAAACCTTTTGGCACTGAAGAATCAGTCATATAAATCAATTTTTTCTCCCTTTTTGGATAGATCTCTAACCCTATTTTACCATCTCCATGATTGAGGGATAGTATCTACCCTCAATCATTCTTAGTTCAAAAGTTTGACACAAGAGATAACAGCATTAATTTGGACATGGGATTCCTCAGTCATTATCCAACATATTTATGACTCCCTCTGTGAGTGCTGTCCCGTCCCCCCCCCCCCAGTCTTTGCTTTTTGCTTTGCTGTATCTTATCTCTAGGCTAACCTTAGGCTTGTGTTTCTTTCTGTTTTTTTTCTCAATCCCCACATATCTTCTAACATTCTGCTAAAACTTTGTAACAGTACTGCTTGAACCTTGGAGAAGGGGACACTCCCCGAAAGCTTGTCCTCAAAATTGTATGTTAGTGCAAATAAAAAAAGTATCACGGACAGTACTCAATTGTTCCTGCCGCAAATGCACTAATTGGCTACAATCACCTCAAGCACAGATGTGAAATTATTATTATTATTACTACGAGTTTATATAGCGCCAAAGGGTTTGCTCACGCTGTACAATAGGGGGGACAATACATGGCACAGTACAACAACAACAAACAACAGAAGGGTAAGAGGGCCCTACTCTTACGAGCTTACAATCTAGAAATGAAATGGTCCAATCTTGCCACTGATCTACTGATCACCTTCTGTCTAACCACCCTGTTGGTAATTTTTAATTTGTTCAGTGCCGCATGTAAAAGGATGCAGTGCTGATTTGTGTGTTCTGATGGCAGAGAAGTCTCCATGCTGTCCGAATACAAAGACACAGTGGTAAGGTTCCCCCATCCACCTACCTATCGAATGTGTGAATGGGGGAATTGGGTCAGTTTTATTTGGCTTAACAAAAAATACTGACTCGTGTAGGGTCAGAAAATAGGCTGTTCACTTTACAAGTGGAGTTGCACTCTGCAGGGGAATTTTCCCTAGAACTTGCAATCACGTACAAACAAAAATGTTTGGTTTTTTTTTTTTCCTTGCATTTAATCATGCGATTGGGTATACTTTTCCAAGTGAAACTTTATCACATTCACTAAACTCTGAGACAAATTCCATTGCACAGTTCAATTTCCTTTATCTGTCTTTAGAAAATAAACCCCTCATTTTTAACAGACCAATTTACTAAGGCAGATTGTTGTTTTAGTGTACAAGGGGAAGATTAGTAATGATTTACGTATTTTTTTTTTCCCCTCTCTCTTATTTTTTTGTTTCGTACTTTCAAGTTCAAATGAAGTCTATAAAGTGTAAGGTTAAAAAGATTTTCCATGTTCCTTACTGGGGACTCCCTCTCTGCTTCACTATATGTGATCATAGATTATTTTATTTATTTATTTCAGGTATTTATATAGCACTTGCACACATATTGCATATTCAAATCAGTCCCTGTCCTCAAGAAGCATACAATCTACAGTATTTTTGGTATATGTTAGAGATATTTTGAAAGTTAGGATCTTTGATTTTTGTATATTATGTGTGTTACAAGTAAAAATTTAAAAACAGGCAAAATTTAAAGGCAAAACTTTTTTTTCTCCCATTTTGTAAAGAAAGTTATAACCCCTGTGAGTTTTTTTTCATCTGTGTCCCTTTGGGAGATTTATCTTCACTTCCCATCCTATAGCCAAAACAGGAAGTGAGAGGAAATCCCTGCAAATTAAAAGAATCCATTGTGGCCCCCCAGGTCACCAGAATTTGTGTCCCCATTGGAAGATTTCCCCTCTATAAGGGCTCATGTACACTGCAGCTGATAAATTCACGTGTAGGAGCTGTTCAGCGTTTTTTTTTCAGCAGCCCCTGAACTCACCCTGTTTTCCTATGTGTCCATGTACACATCATTGTTTACAGTTGTTTACAGGCATTTGAGTTTGCAGTCGTTTTTTTTTTAACACACCAAACTTGCGTTCAGCAGTTTTATCAGCGTTTCAAACGAAAAATGCTTGTAAACGCGTGTAAATGGGGCTAACCACGTTTATAAGCGTTTGCGTTTAGAAGTGTTTTTTAACTGTTCCATTTCCAGATGCTGTCCAGATCCTTTTTTCATCATGAAAAATTCATGCAAATCGTTTTCAAGGTACTCAAAAGGGACAAAACACTGAACACAGGATTTTCCTACCAAGCTTGTTACACATTGTAATGAACAATTCACACCTCAGATCTCTCCCACCCTGCCAGGTGGCCTTAAATGACTCACTCCACTAGAAACCTTTCCCACCCTTGGAAACAAAAGAAATGTTAATGAGCAACTCACACCTAAGCTAATCCTAACACATACTGCTGTCTCTGCTTCTACTCTCTGTATTTCTCTGAAACAGTCTGAAATAGTTAATAATTTACCACTTTCCAGTGCATTCTGGGCATTTAGGTTCTCCTGTGCTTATCTTTAAAAAACGCTTCTAAACGCAAACGCTCATAAACGCGGTATGCAAATGCGGCTAAACAGACGTTTTTTAGCCTACATTTTCCAGCAGTCAGTTTCCATCATCCAGAAGTGTCCCGTGTACATGGGGCCTTACTGTTCTGGGAGCAACCCAAAGTTTGGGATTCTTTCTCTTTCGATGATAATGGTAAACAGGTCAAATAGAGGGTGAATCTCCCGTATGAGGGCACAGATAGCAATAAAAAACCTGACACGTGTTCTAATCAAATCCACTATGTCCAAAACAAAAAATGCTTTCACTTACACTTTAAACAGGGAACACAAAAATCAGTTAAAGTCATACCTCGTGGTAAGTATCTTCCAACTCTCCATCATATATCCAGCGGTAAAGGAAGTTTACAATTGGATGTGACACTAAACCAAGAATATGCTGCACCAAGGACCGCATATATGGGTCTCCTGTTTTACTGTATGCATGTACTGCTGATGCCAACTCTCCGCCTTTCCTCCCTATGCAAATCATTAAAAAAATAATGAAGGCTTAAACATTTAATCCTAAAATATTACAATAAAAAAAATAAAGCACACAGAGCGGTACTAAAATCTACATTCAACACTAAGGAGAGTTCTTTACAAAAAAAAACACGTACATACACATACAATTATGAACACTCATGCCAGGGATAAAAGGCAGAAAAGCACAGAGTGGTCAGTGTTCTAGCTGTGCTAGAACTCAGCCTGCTCTCCTTCAATGATCACAAGTGTGATGACTCCCTCCTCCCTCCCCCCTCCCAGACACACACACATGCACGCACACACACACACACAATGGGAAGATCACTGTCCTGCTGTGTTTTCCTCCCCCCAGCTGTTATGCAATTGAGAACAGAGGGTATGTGATCACTTATTTTAAACTGAAGGGGTTGTTTTACAAGATGAGTTCACATAAACTTTCAATTTTAGGGCCATCATTCACGGTTAACTCTAAACTCATAACCTGTTGAAGGTTTTAAAGCATTGCCTATGGACTATTTTGGATACTGAAGTTTGATGCCACCTCATGGGTATGCACATTTTAACGTTTCACAAGTTAGATATCTATTTACTTGGTGCAACCTCTTGTATTTTTTTCTCCATAATTTGGGTAAGCTTTGAGGACATGTCCCCTAGGAATCCAACCCCTATAACATGTTTAGCACCGTACCGGCTAACACATGTAATGCAATGGTGCCAATGTGACTGCCCAATGCAGGCTCCAGTGCAGTCACAGCTGACAGGCCTTCCCCATTGTTTTCATTGGGGTCCGGGTACAGCCCCGCTAGGAATTGGTAATCTGTATGGACCAATATGGATAACTGCAGCTGATCTGGAAGACCAAGGCTCAGCAGATAAATGCATTTTAGAAAAAATTTTGGTGCATCTCAGAAATACCTCTCAGCAAAGAATGACTGGTCCCCCACCTACATACCCTAAAAGTGATAGAGGTTATGCAGGGCTGGGTCAAGCTTTGCTATATGCCAGTGTCCAATCACCTGGAGGTAAAGCATAGCCCAATGGTCTACGAATTACCTCTGTGTCTTGTGATGTACAAGAGTGGGGGTTTTAAGTTAAAAAGCACTAATTTTTTAAGGAAAAATACAATCAGTCGATGATAAAGGAAATTTACCTGCTTACAATGTCCTGTAATCTACCAGATACAGCCCTCAAAGCATGCATACATGCCAAAAGTTCTAGAAAGACTAACATCTTTTTGCTGAATTAACCAACTCCTAGATAATTACTGCTGTCTGGTAATTAGAGAAAAGAATCCTGAAAAGAGAAAAGTTTAAGAAAATATGCAATTACTAGCTTACCTTGACAGTGGTCAACAAGTGCTGCAAGAGTTTTCAATCTAATTTTGGGATCATATGTCCATACCAAAAGGCGTCGAAGAGTTAAACTACTTTCAAGTCCTAAATTAACACCTTGGTCATCTTCTGCCTGTAACTTGAGCGATAAAAGGATATATTTATCGTAATATTCATTTGTTTTCATACACTTATGTTCATTGACACACACAGCCTCTCTTCTTTAGTCTTGAACAAACAGGGACACCCCAAAGCAGTGCAACAATTAAAGGTGTGCAAACGAACCCAGGGAACAACCGGGTAGACACGCCAATACTGCTAACTACCTCAAAGGGACCCCCGAGAACTTTAAAAAGCAGCCTGAAAAACTTTGCAGCCAAAACTAAAATCCATGGACGCCAAAAATATCAAATTTAGTAAATGGCCACAGCCTTGCAAACCTGAGAAACAGACAATTTATGTCGGAACAGGAGACACTAATTGCCCTGGTGGAGTGCGCCGGAATGGGGAAGGGGGGGCTACCACCCCCTAATAGCATATGCCTGAACAATCATCTGACAAAACCAATGAGAAATAGTGGCAAGGCGGCCACCTTGCCTTTCCTCAGACTGTCCACAAGCACAAAGAGATTTTGAATCTCCAAAAGGTGGCTATCACAGATAAATACACACAAATCACTTGGACTAGGTCCAAGGAGTGCAAAGCCACCTCCTTAGGGTGCAAAGGCTGAGCACATAAGAAAGGAAGGACAATGACCTCATTCAGATGGAAATCCCACACTACTTTCAGAGGGAAATAAGGAGATGGACAAACCACCTTTACCTGCAAAATCAGATAGGGAGGCTTACAAGACAAAGCTGTCAATTCAGACACCCGCCAAGCAGAAGTGATAGCGTCCAGGAACCTTCTGAGAGAGAGTAACTGATAAAACCAAAGTCAAGTCACACAGCCGCAATGGAGAATGTGCGCGCGCAGGGGAGCGGGGTTACATGGCAAATCAAAAAGGAGGATTTGTGAAAAGAAATTCACAGAAAAGCGGCTACATTATGAACAGAATGTGACACTCAGAAAAATTTCCAAAAATTATGCTTTATTACACTTATAAATATGACATATGGGCAGTCGCCCTGGTTTACCATCACCTCAGTATGAGACAATACACACAGACCTAAAACCATTAAAATAACACCAAGACCGGTCTAAATGCATGTGCAACAGAGAAAATGACTGCAAGAGTCGAATGTCCCTGAGACACAAACACATAGGTGAACACTTCCCAAAGGAGGTGTATCCAAAAATTATACCATAGGTATACCATAATACATGTTATAATATTAGAATTCGGCTATTGCCATAATGGTTGTATCCCAAATAGGGAATCCAAAAATTATACTATGGATATGGATATCACATGTATGCAATTCAGCAAGCACAATATGCGTCAAGAGGAGAACAATATGCCACAGGCCTGTATGAAAAAAGACAAAAATGTCATATGTATAATGCAATACATTCCTGTGCCGGCACAAGTGGTTGGGGCCCATTCATCTGTATAGACAGCTGTTTCCTAGAGCTCTTGAATGAGAATATGCCCCATTTATTCCCAGGATGGAAGAAAGGATGCAAAAAGCAGCACTCTGCTTGAAATGGTTTCTTCACCACTACATGTGGACTACACACCACTTTCTGTAAGAAAAACAAGACACATCCCAAAAGATCTTCTGCCTGTTGAAATGCATGTGGTATGTCTTGTTTCCCATAAAAAGCACCATGATGTCCCCATCCTGTAGTAAAACAAACAATATGTGGAAGAGTCACTGACAGAGCTTACACTCTATGTAGGATATATAGGTCATATAATGACAGAGGACCATATATCTAATGTCCTGTGACAGTCCACTCACCACCTGTGCACTGGATAATAGGAACGGAAAGGATGTCCTTCATAGGTATTGCCATACAAGGCCAAAGAGGCCAAGGAACCACCGCTGACATCCGCCGATATACCGCGGGTTCCAGCCCCTTCTTGGCGCCTGTGCTGCTTAGGCTTGCCTCATGGCATGTGAAGATGGCTTCCTCCTAATGGGTCAGCGTGCGTTTCCACCTAGTGCGCCATGACCGGAAGTGACGTATCTGACGTATGACGTCAACGCGTTTCGCCGATGGGCGTATCTCACTCAGCTTCGTCAGGACCAATGAAACAACCACATCTCAATTTCCTATTTATAGTGGGTTTAACCCCACCCATTTATGCAAAAAAACCAACCTGCAGTTATTCCTAATGGAAGAAGAAAGGGGGCTAAATATTTAGCACAGCTGCTGGTCATTGTTAAATATTTACAGACAACTGGAGACATCAGAGAGGGGAGAGCTTGGCAATCATAGCAATGCATATATAAATCCAAAGATCATGAATTAAATATACTGATCAGTTGAAACATTATCACACTCTAAACCAGAAGATGGCGATATTAGTAAAGGATCAACAGGTCCATTCATTGAATCGAGTTTTGGAAATTTTTCTGAGTGTCACATTCTGTTCATAATGTAGCCGCTTTTCTGTGAATTTCTTTTCACAAATCCTCCTTTTTGCATGCCTTTTTTGGCTACTGAATGGAGACCAAATATTGGGTGATACGATAATTTAATTTATTTTATAACCTCTCAATAATTATCTTTAGCTTACATGGCAAATCCCCTGTAAAAAAGGTACGAATCAAGGAATGCACAGCCAAGGCATATTGAAAGAAAACAAGAGCAGAAACCTGACCCTTAATAGTACTCAAAGCAAGCTTTTGGTCAACACCATGATAAAGAAAGGCTAACACCCGAGCCATCAAAAAGGAATGAGACTGGAACCCCCGAGCTTTGCACCAAACAATATAGGCCTCTCAATTACACTGATATCTTCAGGAAGGTAGACTTATGTGCCTTCAACATCTTGGGAATCAATGAGCTAGACAACCCCCTGTCCCTATGAACCTTTCTCTCAATAGCCATGCCATCAAAGCCATAGATGATAAAGCAGGGTGGAAGACCAGACCCTGGGACAGGAGTTCCTTACAAAGAGGAAGCCACAGCACATCGGCGAACGGATGGCGAAGGCAAATTACATTGACAATCTGTACAGTAGATGAGGAATTAGCTTAAGGGGAGGAAAAGTATAAATGAGATGGTACTAATCCCACGGCGCCACTAGGGCATCTGTTGTATCCACCCAAGGATCCCTCATTCTTGTGACGAACCTCAGAACTTTTTGATTGAGGCAAGATGCCAGTAGATCGATGTCCAGCGTCCCCCAGTGAAGACAAAGATGGTGCCAATCCCCTTAATCCAGATCCTGATGGCTGAGGTAATTTGCCTGCCGGTTTTCAACATACCACAGGTGACAGAGTTGGAACAAATTGTTCCACCCACTGCAAAAGGAAGGTACTTTTACCACCCCAAGTTCTTAATGATGTCGTCCAATGGTGCCCTAAATAAACAGTTGCCATGGACAGGCAGGTCCAAAGGGGAAGAGGAAGATACTCTTGACATCTCAGGTTCTTAATGTCGTCCAATGTAGCCCCAAATAGACAGTCACCCTGGAAAGGCAGGCCTTCTTTGAGCCAAAGGACTGGCTGAAAAACCACTGCCAAAACTGAGAATTTAGAGAGAAGAGGAGCTGCATCAAGGGACGCGTCACAAAAATATTTCAAGTTTCACATATGCTTGGTGCACCTGACTAAAAGTGAAAGCCAGTCATAGAACCTTAACTCATTCAGTTAATGTCTGGGACAACAGGGCCGTGGCCAACACTGGCTGCAATGCCAACCCAGCAAAGGTGAACATAGATCATGCCACCGAATCTACCCTGCAATCCGTGGGATCCTTAAAGGTGTGGGATTCCTCAACCAGAATCACAGTGGCCTTGTTGAGCCTAGAAATGGGGAAAGTGTTCCTCAAAAGGGTAGCGTACCACAAAGCGTTTGTAAAGTACAAAACGGACGCTTTGGACACTCCCAATTTTTGTAAACAAATTTGTGAAAACCTTAGCAGACCTAGCATGTGTATACCATAAGGGACAGGCACATCAGATGCTCCAGCGGAGTTCTCAATTTCTAGTATCTCTCGCACAGAAGGAGAGCGGTGACCAACGCCTTCTCTTGTGCAAATACTAAGGCAGCGGACCTGTTCTCCTCATCCAAGGATTCAGGGGATGGGTCCACAGGAACCACAGAAAATGCAGAGCCCATAGCAGCAGAACCGAACTCAGGCTCAGAGATTTCCAAAGACGAGGGTGATGGTGGGGAGAGATTCCTGCTCACCTTGGGACCGAAAAGCCACTTCCACCCAGGAGACAAATAACTCCACGACTACCAACAGCACATCTAATGGGACTGAGGAACCTGAAGGACCCACGACTTCTAGGAGGTGATCCGGATGAAATATGTGCTCCTGGGGCTCCACAGAGACCAGCACACCCAGGCAGGCAACGCCACAAAATGGGACCCCAAAAGGAAGGAGACAGAAAGGACACTCCCAGACCAGCCAATCCCAGCCGAGAGCTCTCCAGCCAGTTCCTATAGCAATCCTATGCAAGGTCTCTGGCAAAATGACTGCCCCAGCTGACACAAACAAAATGGCCTGCCAGAATCAGCAGCAAAATGGCAGGTAGGAGGGAAAACAGCTAGGTGGAGAAGGGCAGAATACCAGCAGATAGGAGGGAGGGGGGGAGGGACCCCTCCAGATCGACCACCCCTGGGAGTAACCGTGCCCCCCCACCTTGTCCGAGAAGGGAGGTGAGGGGGCATCTGCTTACCAGTACAGTGAAGTAAGGCTCCCATGACAGATCCTCCTCTCCACAGAAGTTGTGGGGCTGTCGGCCAGGGTAACACTGTGACACTGAATCAGGTGCCCAATCACATGTTCCCGCGAGACATTCAACTAACTGGCTGTCCTGGTTCAGGATGGGGCTGTCGCAACTTATGCGGTGCATAGCTAAGGGTCTATGTGCAGTCATTGAACAGACTGGGGTGACTGCTGGATTTAAATGATCCAGTCAGTCGTCCAACCTGGCTGTTGATAGAAGATCTCTGTGGGAAAAATAACGAAAAAAGGAATAAACTTTTTCAAAAAAGCTTGTGAAACCAAAAGGTCCCAGCAGGGAACCTGGTCTTTACTCCTGAACATTAGGCGGAAATAACTGGCTTGGCTATATCAAAGAGAGGGTCTTATACCTAGAGAGAACTGCCCATAGTAGGTGCTACGTTTTCTTTCTGCCTAGTGTCCTACTTCCGTAGGTGGCACTACAGAACCCTGTTTGGTCAGGACTAAAGAAGAGAGGCTGTGTTGTCCATCAATGAATGTGAGAGAGAAGAATTGGAACAGAATTTCCTTAAGCAAGAATATAATAAAGACTATTAGCTTGCAACAAGAAGAGTATAGAAATTACCATTTACTGTATGCAAAACAGGTAAATACTAAGAGGGTAAACAAACATTTGTATATTTCATGTTATCTTATTTTACGCCCAATCTATTTAAATTTAGACTAAACCACCTGCAATTTAAAGGATAAGCTCACCTTTCTGAACATGTTATACCTATATTAAGGGTGTAACATATAACATCAGACCCCTCCCCCCCCCCCCATTGTGGCAGCGAGCCAGGGATCTTCTCTGCCCACATGGCAGCATCATTAATTCACAGATCCCTTTAGATTGTAAGCTCCAGGAGGAGTCCCTCCTATTCCTTCTGTAATGAACTGTAATGTAATTGCACTGTCCCCCTTTATATGTTGGCTCTATATAAATCCTGCATAATAATAATAATCATCATCAATGAACTACTGTTCAGCTGTCAGCTTGTACTTCCCAATGAACTACCATGGTGCTGTTGAGCGCTGTGGTATTTCATCAATTCTTCCTGCCAGTGTAAAACTGCCTGCCCATAAGATGAGCAGGCAGATCACACTGACAGTCTGCAGAAGACCTGCATGGTACCAGCAATCTGCTGATCGCTGCTGCAATGCTTTCCAGGCTCCTAAAGCAAAAAATAGTAAATGCAATGTAAAAAATGTGCATTTATTAAGATGAACTAATCCTTATAAGTGAACAAGTGGGCAGATAATTCATACTAAAGTATTTACATACTCTGAAAAAGCAGTAAAAGAAATTTAAAAACAAGCCATCATCAATCTCTGTATCTACTCTATAAGCGGACAGTTAATTTTCAAAGTTTGCAACACAGTCATTGAAATCTTTTTTTTTTTGGTGTGACACCCCATCGCTCCCTGCCACCCCCTCTTCATGGCTCCTGGGCTCTCCTGCTCTTTCCAGAAGTCTAAAACCACAACCAATGACTTCAGGATGGAGAGGAGATGGGAAAGTCCAAACATCCTCCACCACCGTGTCCTCTCTAATTCCATTGGTGATCACTCTTTTCCCATTCATAAAACCTCTCGTATCTGGTCATTCTTCTCTACCTTCACCCATGCATGATTTACTTCCCTTTAGGATCATTCTTCTCCGTATCATCTTGCATTGTTGGATTTTACAAGAAAAACAACCTATACAGAACAACCTAGTTTTAAACATTAAAAACGAACACAATTACTATGCAAGAACGCCACATTCCAAAAATGACGCCATGTATGAACAGCTAAATCCCTTCCCATCCATCATTCACTTAACGATTTTAATTATTTTGTATCTGGTACTGTCACACAAGAAAGGATGAAGCAAACTGATGTGAAAAAATCTAGGCCAAATTACAAATACTAATTTTATTGTTGCTGATATTGACCTTCCCCAATAGCCAACTGGGCTTTATTTCCCATCAGCTCTATTGACATTAAGAGTGTACAGTAGTGGTTATATACAATACTATCCATGCTATATCTTTTTCTATACAAATTGGTGCAAGCATATCAATCTTTTTGTATTCTGTTTATACATATGGATATGATTCAAAATGTGCTGATATACACAATTTATGCTCATTTGCAAGTCATCTCAGTACGTGTTGTACTGATTTAATCTTTAATGTTTCCTGTGTAACATGTAGGTCTGAAATGAAGTGGCCCCCTAGGCCTACAAAAAAATGTATCCAACATGAACAAAAGTCACCTTCAAACAGGCTTTGTCAACTTCAAAACATTGTTAACAAAAGGCCATCATTTTTTATTTTTTTTTTTACAAAATAAGCCCCGTCCCCTCAAAGCAATTAGCTGCCCCCTACCCCAAGCTGGGTAGTAGTGGGAGCAAAAAACAAATGTACTGAGGGAGCCAGAGTTAATTTTTGTAAACATAAAAAATACTTTAACTGCTTTTGTGCCGCTCTATAGCAGAAATACTGCTACAGGGCAGCACGGGTAGGGTAGGCCCTACCCGTGCCGCAACTCACAGCCTTGGCTGTCAATCACCAGGTCCCAGCCAGTGATTTCTAGCCGGCACTTGGTGATTGCCGAGTATCTCTGACAGGGAAGAGACCTGTGTACAAACAACACAGATCTCTCCTCTGTCAGCTTCTGCATGCTGCTTTGTATGGCTCTGCATAGCAGAGCCATACAAATCAGAGTGCTTACAGTGAAACATAGCACTCAACCTCTAGTAAAACAGTACACAGATAACCCTTTGATCGCAGAGCCATACAAAGCAGCGTGCTTACAGTGAAACATAGCACTCAACCTCTAGTAAAACAGCACACAGATAACCCTTTGATCGCCACACATGTTAACCCCTTCCTGCCCTGTGCCATTAGTACAGTATCAGTGCTTTTTTTAGCACTGGTTACTGGGGATGTCAGTCACATCAAGTCAGTTCCCCCCAGTATCAGAATGCCTGCCGCAGTCCCGCTATAAGTCGCTGATCGCCTCCATTACTGGAGAAAATAAATTTAAATCCCAGTACATATACCACCATTTGTAAACGCTATAAGTTTTGTAAACCAATTAATTTACACGTATTGGGATTTTTTTTAGCAAAAACATGTAGCAGAATACATTTTGCCCTACATTTATGACGAAATATGATTTTTAAAATTTTTTTATCGGACATGTTAAATAGCAAGAAGTCAAAAACATTGTTTTTTTTCTCAAAATTGTTGGTCTGTTTTTGTTCATAGCGCAACAAATTAAAAAACCCCCACAGGCGATCAAATACCACCGAAAGAAAGCTCTATTTGTGGGGAAAAAAAGGACATAAATTTAATTTGGGTGCAGCGTTGCATGACTGCGCAATTGTCAGTTAAATTGCCGTAGCACAAAAAATGGCTTGGTCAGGAAGGGGGGTAAATCCTGTGGAGGGCAAGTGGTTAAACATGACTTTTCACTTTGGGATGAAGCAGAGAGACAATGGGGTTGATTTACGAAAACTGAAAAATGCTAAATCTGGTGCAACTGCACATGGTAGCCAAGCAACTTCTAACTTCAGCTTGTTTCATTAACATTTGAAAAAAAAAAAAAAACAACCTGGAAACTGATTGGTTTCTATGCAGGACTGCACCAGATTGTGAACTATCCAGTTTTCGTAAATCAACCCCATAACGTTCTATATTTGTAATCAATATTCCTTTGGCCAGGGGTTTTAGACAAAAATGGTCTAGAAACCACTAACAATAGAATAAGCATCACTATTCTTTCAGTAAAAGCAAATTACTATCTAGGGTTTTATTAAAAGTGTCTTGTTATAAACCATACCTGAGAATGCAGAACTGAAAGAAGACGGTAATATTCTTTAAGTTCCTGATGTAATGCAGCACAAAAACTCTGTTAAGCAAAAATAATATTAAGGAAATACAGAATATATATTTATGAACAAATAGCCAGTACAAAACATTGACGTTTCAATTGTGTGTTGGTAGATCTCAAAAATTGGCAATTGAGAAAGAGATTTAGGGGTTTAATTCTTTTGAATGTATCTGGTCTTGAATCTCTAACTTAATACAAATTTCTGCAGTACAATCATACTAGGAGAATTACTCAGCTTTATGTTTCTACTTCATAGTGGAAGGGAAAGTAGTCTAGAGCATGGAGCTATGTGACTGTTCATTGTTTCTACTAGTTATGTATCTGTGTTTTTTCACTAAATCACCAAGCAGTAATTTTTATTGCTTTTATAGAACATGTAGTAATGAAACTAGAAAGGAAAACCATATATATTACAGCTTAATTAATATGCTATATAGTCCAAAAAATGTAGTACTTTTGGCCCCCATTTTTTCTAAAGCAATATGGTATAAGTTGTATGCAATAACTTGCATTTGTGTATGGAAACAATGGCCACTGTGACAATAATGAAGTCAGATGAATCCAAAACTGAGCAAAGAGAATGGGGTCATACTGAACACAGTGAACCATCTTTTCTCCAACATGCACAAGTCACCAACAGACAATTAGATTTAAAATCTTACATGTGGGACACATCCCATGGAATCCCTACTAGAACATGACCAGTTTGAGACATAAAGGGGCCATCATAAATCACCTTACAACATTCCATCATCTTACCAGGGTACAGGATCTAATGTCATTAAAAGCATTAGCATATATCTGGCAAGGCAGGGCACTAATAGCAGTCATAGGCAACATTTAACCAGAGACTTTGAAGTGCCCGTCATAAAATTGCTATGTCATTAAACCTCTGGAAAGCCTAACACTTCTTTATGCCACAAATATTTCAGAAAAGCAGTTTCTGGCCTGGTTGTCTAGTCTGTGTTCTGGCCAGTGAATAGAATACAGGTCAGTGTGCAAGGGTCTGTAGTATGTAGGGCAATGTAGAAGGGTAAGCATTATGCAGGGCAGTGTACAGGGGTCAGTAGTATGCAGTCAGTAGTATTTAGGGCAGAGCACAGGGGTAAGCAGCATGCAGGACAGAGTACAAGGGCCGGTAGTTTGTAGGTCAGACTGGAAGGGTCAGTAGCTTTAAGAATACACTATAGGGATCAGTAATATATAGGGCAGCATACAGTGGTCATTTGTACATACAGGTGAAACTCAAAAAAAATTTGAATATTGTGCAAAAGTTCATTTATTTCAATAATGCAACTTAAAAGGTGAAACTAATATATGAGAGAGACTCATTACATGCAAAGCAAGATAGTTCAAGCCGTGATTTGTCATAATTGTGATGATTATGCCTTACTGCTCATGAAAACCCCAAATCCACAATCTCAGAAAATTAGAATATTACATGCAATCAATAAAACAAGGATTGTACATAGAACAATATCGGACCTCTGAAAAGTATAAGCATGCATATGTACTCAGTACTTGGTTTGGGCCCCTTCTACAGCAATTACTGCCTCAATGCAGCGTGGCATGGAAGCTATCAGCCTGTGGCACTGCTGAGGTGTTATGGAAGACCAGGATGCTTCAATAGCGGCCTTCAGCTCTTCTGCATTGTTCGGTCTCATGTCTCTCATCTTTCTCTTGGCAATTCCGCATAGATTCTCTATCGGGTTCAGGTCAGGCGAGTTTGCTGGCCAATCAAGCACAGTAATCCCACGGTCACTGAACCAGGGTTTGGTGCTTTTGGAAGTGTGGGCAGGTGCCAAGTCCTGCTAGAAAATGAAGGCAGCATCCCCATAAAACTCTTCTGCGGAAGGAAGCATGAAGTGCTCCAAAATCTCCTGGTAGACGGCTCTGGTGACCCTGGACTTAATGAAGCACAGTGGACCAACACCAGCAGATGACATGGCTCCCCAAATCAACACAGACTGTGGAAACTTCACACTGGACTTCAAGCATCTTGCAGTGTGTGCCTCTCCATTCTTCCTCCATACTCTGGGTCCTTGGTTTCCAAATGAGATGCAAAAGTTGCTCTCATCACAAAAGAGGACTTTGGACCACTGAGCAACAGACCAGGTCTGTTTTTCTTTAGCCCAGGTAAGACGCTTCTGACGTTGTTTGTTGTTCAGGAGCTGCTTGACAAGAGGAATACGACATTTGAAGCCCATATCCAGGAACCACAGCACTTGTCACATTCATTTTATATTTTATACTTTATATTCCGATATTGTTGGTTTTGTTTATGTTTTAGTGCTATTAGTGGCATAAGAGCACTGTGAAGATTACAGCACTGGTCACATTCACATTTTCATTTTATATTTTTTAGTTTATTTATGGCATTTATGGCATTTTTTAAAGCGCTACACTAATTTATACAGATTTTTACACTGATTAGGGTATTGGTTGGAGTGTCAGCAGCTTACTCACTAGGAGGGGGAACTGTCCATAGAAGCGCAGGAGGATCCATTATCATCAACTTCTTAGTACCTTACCTAAACCTCAAGCAGCTATTATGGATGTTTTTGGATTTCTAGAGAATAGATCCATCAATTTAGAAGAAGTATTTAGTCAACCCAATGGGGGACCAATGGGAGACCTGGAAACACAATATCGGAAATTAGGCCACCTAATGGAGAAAAAAGTGTCCCTTTGGTGGGACATAGTCACACATGAAAAGTATATAAAAGATCGATTAGTGCCCAGAAGAATTAGATGGGACATACCCATCTGTGATGGATTAACAGATGGAGAGTCAGTTGATGAGTGGTTTAATTTCTTCCACGAAAAGGGTCTTGAAACTAGTCATGTTCTTATTAAAAAGGAAACAAAGGAAATTAAGAACTTTAGATAAACAAATAGGTGAGATAAAAGAAAAAACTCTACCATTTAAAGAGACAGTAGAGATGCAAAATCTAACCAATCGACTCAATAAAGATCTGGAAAGGGTGGACCAAGAGGTTAAGTACAGAAAAACTAAAAAATATCAGAGAGATCTAAATGATATGAAAAGAAACCAAGTATTTAAATGGCAATCAGAGGAAAATGAGATTGAATTAGCATCGGCTAACACAACCCCAGTCAAAGAAAAAGTGGTAAACAAAAGCGATCCCACACCCACTTATAAGAATCAGGATAGAGATTCTAATCAAGTGCGATATAACACTCAGAATTATAGGACACCAAAAAATGGATACAAACCTAAGCAAAATGGAAACGGTGGTTACAGGGGACCCAACAATAAGAAAGGCCCACCATATAACAATAGACCTTATTATCCCAATAATAGGCCTTATTATCCACCAGGGCCTAACCCCAACAACTATCAGCCCAGACCGTATGTACCTAGACCCTATGGACCAAGATATGAGGGCCCGGATACATATGGACAATGGGACTATCCAAGATTTGAATATAGGAGTCCTATATACACCTATAACAGATTTGAGCCATTAAGGCAGGAGCCTAGACAAGGGGATTTTTTAGAGAGACACCCAGAAGAGAGGAGCCCAGAGAGAGAAAAGAGGAAAAGCCCAGGAAAAGGAGGGGATGCAGGGCAGGATATAAAAAACAAAAGAAAAAGAGAACAATAGGAGAAGGAGTGTTTAACATCAGTGGCTCCACACTAACGAAAGAGGAACTCATGGCATTAGATAGAGGTTTGAAGTATGCTCCCCCTGCATCCATGAATAAATTCAAAGTATATATAGATGCTCAAAAATTCATTAGGAGATTAAATGTGAAAAAGTACTTCCTAGGATTACCGGGGGCAAAGAATTGTCTAAACAGTGCCCCGAGTAGCAGTTTTATCCATACTGATCTTAGAAATAAATCAGTTTTTAATCCACAGATGAATAATAACAGTCATATTGAAGTTTTTAAAAAACTAGTTAATCAAGATCTAGAGAAACTGAGTGTACCCAAAGTTAAGAAGAACATAGGAGTGGAAATTGGGATCAAGAGGCTGTCTAAACGGGAGGATATTGTTGTGAGACCAGCAGATAAAGGGGGTGGAATAGTGGTGCTGTCAAAAGACTACTATGTTAAAGAACTTTCCACTCAGCTTAATGACATATCCACTTACCAAATTCTAATGAAAGATCCGACAATAGCATATAAAAAGGAATTAGTATCATTGGTAAAGAAAGGAGTAGATAAGAAGATCCTAAATAAGAAAGAGTCCAAATATCTAGTACCGGATCTATGTAGGATACCAATAATCTACACTGTCCCGAAAATACACAAAAATATGGAGAACCCACCGGGCAGACCCATTGTAAATGGGATAGAATCAGTATTAGCAAGGATGGGGGAATACATTGATGAATTCCTACAGCCAGTGGTTAAGAATACCAAAGCATATCTGAGGGACACCAAGCATTTGCTACAAGTTTTAGATACATATAAAGGTACTAACAGGACATATATAGCTAGTGCTGATGTCACATCACTTTATACCATTATAGGGCATGATGATGCCATGAAAGCAGTGGATTGGGGACTCAGAGAATATAGTGGTTTGACATGGACCCAAAGGAAATACCTATTAGAATGTCTGGATTTTTCCCTTGATCATAACTATTTTTGGTATAGTGGTACATATTACAAACAAATAAGGGGTGTGGCTATGGGGGCACGATACGCACCAAGTGTGGCAATATTTTCATGTCATGTTGGGAAGAAATGGAAGTATTCAATAATTGTCCAGAAGAGTTGAAAGTTTACAAAAGGTTCATTGATGACGTTATAGTGATATGGGAAGGAGAGGAAAAATCATTAATGAGGTTTTTGGATAAACTTAATGTGAATAATAAAAATATCAAGTTTACATGGGAACACAGTAAGGATCAGATCAACTTTTTGGATATCAATATAGCAATAGTAGAAGGCAAAATTTATTACGAAAACATTCTTTAAAAACGTTGATAGGAATGGGTATATTCCAATTGGAAGTTGCCATTATCCGCCCTGGTTGTACAATATTCCAAAAGGGCAGATGGTAAGAGTTAGGAGAAATTGTACAAAATATGAGGATTATTTGGAACAAGCAGAAGGACTGGCAACTAGATTTATAGAAAAGGGTTACTCAGAAAGTATGATAACACAAAAAATTAAAGAGGTAGGTAATATGGACAGAGATTACTCCTGGGGGAAAAAAAAAAAAAAAAAAGAGAGAAGCAACCCAGGAGGATAATATACCTATTATTATGGACTATAATGTCCATCACAAAAAAATTGAGTTAATATTCAATAAACATTGGAATATCCTGAAGTTGGACCCTATGCTAACAACAATATTACCAGAATATCCTAGGTTCATCTATCGAAAAGCCTCTACTATTAAATCCAGAGTGGTTAAAAGTGTATTGGACCCCCCACAAATGAATAAAGTAACCTTTTTGAATGAAGAAGGTTTTTACCCATGTAAAAAGTGTGTGGGATGTAGGACCACGAAAAGCGGTAGACGTAAAAAGTTTTTAGTTAACACTACTGGACAGGAACACAATATTAAAGACTTCATCACGTGTAAAACTATGGGAGTGGTGTACTGCTTACAGTGCGAGTGCGGTTACCAATATATTGGGAGGACAAAAAGACCGCTTTGGAAGAGGATAGGAGAACATGTAAGAAATATTCTAAAGGGATTCCCAAAGCATAATGTCTCAAAACATTTCTCTAAGTATCATAATAAGGACCCCACCAAAATGCAGTTTTGGGGTATAGAGAAATACAAAAAGCACTGGAGAGGCAGTAACAAGATTAAACAACTTAGCCAAGCTGAGTCACGCTGGATACATGACTGAGAACGCTAGTCCCGAGAGGCCTAAATGTTGAGTTTGATCTTAATTCCTTTATCAATGATTATTAAACTGATTAGGTTGTCGAGTTTTAAGTTATGACTGTTATTGACTTTTTATTGTAATTTATGGGGTAACTGCATACTCAGGTAGTCCGTATATATATATATTTTTGATTAGCTGCTTAGTGAAAAGAGTATATTGTGCATATATATCATATTTTTTTATGTCGATTTTATAATTTTAAGATGTTTTTTTATTATATTTAGCACTAGCATTTACTCACATCTTATTTTATTAATCTTATGTTATGTAGAGAGATGGGCTTTTTTACTAATTCTACCATCTTTATGTATTCTCATAATTTTGAGTTTTTAGTATAGGAGTTACTCTTTAATATAGAGCTGGGCATTGTATAGGATAGGGAGACCAGGGTGCATTATGGGTCTCTCATTTAGACTAATGGGGGTCTCTTTAATATATATATTTTTTTATATATATTTTTATTATATACTCCAAATGGATTTTAATTATGTATTATTATTAAAGTTAGTTGTATTAGATGTGTTATGTAGGGGCTAGTCTGTAGTAGATAGCCTTTATATGTGTCAGTTTGCGATCTTAGGATTTACAAGAGGATTTTCATAATAGTAGAGGATTACTATGTATGTCTCTGCAAAATAGGCTCCAAGAAAATGGCGGCCGCAATTAGAATGGGATTAAAGGGCGGGATAGTTGGTTCCACCGCACTATAAAAGGAGGCAGCGTCTCCATAGCGATACCCAGAAGAAGTCACGAGGTACGTGACGTAACGCGTAGGCAAAACGTAGACGCTACTTCCGGTATCCGGAGTGTCGCACTTCCGGTGTGGGACGCCATTTTCCTGGTTATCAGGAAGTCACTATTAAGAGGTTGCAGTTTACCCTGAGAGGAATACACTGAGACTGTACAACCGAATGTAAGTCACCTGTTATTACTATCTATGAATAAACCCTACTGATTGGAAAATACTACACAATGGAGGATCTGTTTTTCCACTCACTGTCTTTGTGAGAGAGAGCTTGCAGACAACAGGTGGTGAGGAACCTGGGAGGCATAGCAGTGAAGGAGTGGAGGAGACCTGATAGGAGGAATATCAGGAAGGTGCCAATACCAGGAATCTTGAGGATCCAGGGTGATCCTAAAGGCTTGTGGGCCCCTTGGGGTCGCAGGAAGGAGGTGAGCAGGCATTTCAGCCAAAGTGGATAAGAAGTGTGTTGGTTCACGAGTGGCACTATCTATACACACTATGCATGGTTATCAAGAACACTTCGAATAGATGAATGTCAATGAGAAAATTGGACATTGAATGAAGTTGACGTGGCACCGTCACTTGTTATTTATTGATCTATTTATTGTTTGGAGTGACACTATCACTTTTATTTTTTGATTTAAGGTCTCATTTCTCACCCAGTGGTATTAGAGCACTGAGAAGACCACAGCACTTGTCACATTCATTTTATATTTTATACTTTATATTCCGATATTGTTGGTTTTGTTTATGTTTTAGTGCTATTAGTGGCATAAGAGCACTGTGAAGATTACAGCACTGGTCACATTCACATTTTCATTTTATATTTTTATAGTTTATTTATGGCATTTATGGCATTTTTTAAAGCGCTACACTAATTTATACAGATTTTTACACTGATTAGGGTATTGGTTGGAGTGTCAGCAGCTTACTCACTAGGAGGGGGAACTGTCCATAGAAGCGCAGGAGGATCCATTATCATCATATCCAGGAACCGTCTGTGTGTGGTGGCTCTTGATGCACTGACTTCATCCTCAGTCCACTCCTTGTGAAAGTCCCCAACACTTTTGAATGGCCTTTTCCTGACAATCCTCTCCAGGCTGCGGTCATCCCTGCTGCTTGTGCACCTTTTTCTTCCACACTTTTCCCTTCCACATAACGTTCTATTAATGTGCTTTGATACAGCACTTTGGGAACATCCAACTTCTTTTGCAATTACCTTTTGAGGCCTTCCCTCCTTATGGAGGGTGTCAATGATGGTTTTCTGCACAATTGTCAGGTCAGCAGTCTTTCCCATGATTGTGATTCCTACTGAAAAAGACTGAGAGACCATTTAAAGGCTCAGGAACCCTTTGCAGGTGTTATGGCTTAATTAGCTGATTAGAGTGGGACACTTTGAGCCTAGAATATTGCACCTTTTCACAATATTCTCATTTTCTGAGATTGTGGATTTGGGGTTTTCATGAGCTGTAAGCCATAATCATCATAATTATGACAAATCACATCTTGAACTATCTTGCTTTGCATGTAATGAGTCTATCTCATATTAGTTTCACCTGTTAAGTTGCATTACTGAAATAAATGAACTTTTGCACGAAAGTCAAATTTTTTTAGTTTCACCTGTAGGGCAGTGTATAGTAGGCAGCAAGACAGAGTGCAAAATTTATTAGCATGTAGGACAGAGTATAGTGGTCATTACTGTGTAGGGCAGTGGGCAGGGCTCAGTAATTTGTAGGGCAGAGCACAGAGATCAGTAGTATGTAGGGCACCATACAGGGATCAATAGTATTGTAGGAAGAGTACAGATGTCAGCAGTATGCAGAACAGAATACAAGGGTCATTAGTTTGTAGGGAAGGCTACAGGGGTCAGTTTGGACAGGATCTAGTCTGTGAAGAAATTACATCCACAGGCTGGATCGCGGTGGTGTTTTACATGTTTGGTCTCTATTGCATACTGTGTAGTTCCCCCATAATAAATATTATTGGTTTAAAGCGGTACAAGCGGGTTTATACAAGGGTCAGTGGTTTTTAGGGCAGACTACAGGGGTTAGTCCTTTTTGCGGTAGAATTTGGGTTCATTAGTATGTAGGACAGTGTACAGGGGTCATTGGTATGAAAAGTAGTGTATATGGGTCAGCAGGGCAAAGTACAAAGTTCATTATTATGTAGGGCAATGGACAAGGGCCAATAGTTTATAGAGCATTGTATAGGAGTTAGTAGCTTGTAGGATATTTACAGGGGTCAGTAGGGCAAATATTTCTCCCACATTCAGAGTGACAAGTGGACGCAGCAGTGAGACACTGCTATGTGATGTCACATACAAGAGGGTGAAATAGATGGAAAACAAGAGCCGGCAGGGATCACCACAGGGGCACATAGGTGTGTTTCTTCCCTGCACCACTCTGCATATGGGGACGAGCACATCAGAAGGAGGGTCAGCTACGCAGGGATGCGATTCATGCATCACCTGCCCGTGATAGACAGGTAGTAAACGAATGTCAGGTTGCCGACCCCAGAATACATTTACAACACAAGCTGCTAGAGGTGAGTGAGGGTTTTGTTTTAAAGCGCTTTACTACAAATTAACAATATGTAACTAGTGTAATATCATTAATCTGGGCACAGGTGCACTTTAAGAATGGGGAGGTTTGAGCAGAATATCTAACACATGGAAGAACATTATCAAACAACACTTTTTCCTAAACAAACTTTACAATAGTGTTCCGCATTGCCAAACATGTCTCTAAGGTCTCTGCATATGTTACAACCTCCACTCTCAAATGTCTTAAACATTTTTTTTATTTTTTTTTAACATAGAAGCAGACAGACTGTGCATAAATAAAATATTCATACTTGTCCAACAAGTCCAAATGCTCGGTCTAAACTCCTTTGGTCTGTGTATTTTCTTATTTTATTATGAAGCCATCCTAACTCTGCAAGCCTTCCAGTGGTATCTTTAAGGGATTTTGATAGTGCCACCTGTTATAAACAAACCAGTAAAATTAAAACCACTGCAGAAAGACCTCTCTGAATGCAAATTATGGACATAGAAAACAGGAGCTGTAAGGCTTTTCCATATGGGAGGCAAAGCATAAACATGAAAGCATAAACATGAATAATTAAATAATAACAATAATTACATATAGCAACCATAAACAATCACAAATAGAAACATTTTAGAAATAAAATATTCACACACGCTACAACTTACATTTGGCTAATCACATATGAATCTATACAATAAAGAACATTTTACATTCTGTTTAGAGCCATGTTTTTCAAGTAATGGGTCAGAGGCAGACTGGGCCACGTGGCAAATGCCCCAACAAAACGTCCGATACCCTGGCAACATAGCTTAATAAATGCCGCTGACCACACTATCATAAATATTAAGACGTTCAGGACGACAACTATGGACGGCCTTAAAATTTGTATTATTGAGGGCAGCCGGTCCCATTTGTGTGGTGTGCACAGTGCACTTACAAAGTGGTCCCACAGCCTTCGCGCTCATTTCACCTTCCTCCGCAGCAGTGCTGGTAGAAAGTGACATATAACTACACTTCCTTCCAGCCAGCCACGCAGGAGGAAAAAAGATCCTGAACGCCAGGGAATGACTTTGCTAAGTACTTTCCTGGGTTGTGGCTGGGTGATGGAGAGATTTTGAAAGGAGTGAAAGAAAACAGGAAAGCGATGGTGATGTGGGGGGCTGAAAGTGTGCATGAAAGGGGAGGACTGAAGAAAACCATGAAAGGGAGGGTATAAAAAGGGGGTCAATGTGGGTGTTAAAGGAGAGTGTGAAAAGGGGATAAGGAAAGAGCATAAAAGGGGGAAGGAAGGGGGGCATGAAAGGGTGGGCTAAAACAGGGCATGGAACGGGGATTGAAGGAATGCATGACTGAAAACCCTCACACAAATGTTGCACAAACAATATTGTTTATTTAAAAAGCCACTGAAGACACCAATAATCTTAACTTTGTGTGCCTTTGAGAAAGTGAGAGGTAGAAGAGGCATAGCTCAGCTTATTGAGCTATTGGTGTGAGGTAGAAGGGATATTGCTTAAAGTTAGGGGGTATTAGTGGATTTTTGTTATTTTATGTATGCTGAAAAAAATGTAAAAAGTCTAAAAAAGTATTTTATTATGTAAAATTATGTACAATATAGATTACTGCACAAGTTGTTTTGTGGAATAAATGTTTCGAAAATTTAATTATTTTTGGGTCGTGACTTAATGACTAAGGACAATGTGGGTCCTGAGAACCACTGGTTTAAAGGATTCAAAATGCCTTCTCCTGTAGACAGAACAGTAAGACTTGGAAATTTTTTTCCCATGTTTTGTTCATACGTTACTACATAAGTATGTTTTATTTGATCATCGCTTTGTACTACAACTTTTGGCAAAACCGCAAACACCATTAAAAGTAAACATGTTTAATAAAAAAAAAAGGTAAGCAATGTAGTCAAAAATGACACACATTTTTAATGAAATGCACTTTGCAGTAAAGCCATTCTAATTCTGTACACTTCAATCATTAAACCAATAATTCACCATGTACACTAGATGGCAGTAGTAAACCACAAAAGCAAAGTTCAAAAATGCTTGTAACAGTTCTATCCTACTGCTCGCCTAGTACTGAACTCTAGACACAATCTTTTTTTTTTTTTGCAATGCTCATAAACTAGATTAATATATTAGGTACACTCCCTTTTTTTAAAGTACATTACATTTACTTGTTAAAGCTCAACTCCAATTTTGGGGTACCTCCCCTCCCAGCAGTAATTTTTTTTTTTTAATCCAAGAATACATTATTTTTCTGTGGACATATTCTGGCCAGACACGTGACTAGAGGGGTTCACCCTCTCTTCTTCAGAAGTGGTCAATCAAAAATACTGTACAGCATTTACTGTATGTTATGATGTTGCCACCGTTCTTTGAAGTAACACACTGGGTGCACAGGTGATGTGATGATGCACCCCAGGGGGTGTTTCCTTGACAGTCTGTGAACACAGACAGTGCACTGAACAACAATGGGCACCAGTAAACCTAGGAGTCTGGCACTGGAGGGAGTTAGGGTAGCAATGAAATATGGAAGAGACTGAAGAAGAGTTTAAATATTCCAGCTGAAAAGTTTTTTCCCTACCAAAACCTTGGAATGAAATGCCACCCTGACCATTGGTTTAACATTTTTTTTTTTGGTTTTTAAACCATGCAACTTTTACCTTACTGTCAACTTTGTAGCAGTTTTCAGAATTACACATTTTAATGCACTTTCCATCTATGCCCTGGAACACATATAGAATATCTCGTACGAGAGAGGACTCCGTTATTTCAACAGAACCTAAAAAATAAAGAGAACAAAATAAAATGTATGAATACTGATCTTGTTCATCTCGTTAGAAAAAATATTAATGTGTAACTATAATGTAAACTACAATGAATATATTAACAAAGAAAAAAAGTTTCATAAGTGTACATGAATAAATTCTTTATATAGCCATGTTAAGAAAAAAAAAAAAAATAAGTTTTGTAACTCTGAAATATTGCAATTTAAAATCCAGCCAGCAAAAAAAGCTCTAATCTTGGTGGTATGTATTTAGCTATTTTAGGTAAAATTACCATTTTTTTTTTTATAGTATACTTGTCTTATAGTAACCCTCCCAGATCCCCCCCACATTGAGCGCCATGGTAAATATTTACCTTCCTTCCTGTTCCAGCAACATTTCCAGCGTGCTGCCACTCAGCTTCTTTGGAAAGCATTCCAGTCATACTGCAGTATAAAAGCTCACTGATGGGAATTAAAGGAGCCAATGCACTCGTGCACAAGAAGAGGGACATGTGGGGATGGTGGGCAGGTGGGCCACACAGTGAAGATTGTTGGAATGAGGAGTAAGGTAAGGCACTCAGCACTTGCAGGGTGGGGGGAATGTATTAAAAGGGCAGGTTCACAAAAGTATAAAAATCGTTAATAATATCACAAACAAAAATAGCCCCAAAACTTTACCTTTAAAGTGATTTTAAAGGTTTGCATTATTATTACTTTTTTTCACATAACAAATGTTATACTTACCTGCAATGCAATGGTTTTGCACAGAGCAGCCCCGATCCACTTTTCCACCAACGCTCCTGCCTCCTCTCTCTTGACCAGTGCCGCTTGATATTGAGGCACTGGTGCATGCCCGCTCCCGAGTCCTGCTCTAGGCATCCATAAGACCCTCTCCTCATTGGCTCACTGGCTGTGATTGACAGCAGTGGGAGCCAGTGGCTCCAGCTGCTGTGTCTCAGCTGATGAGGAGAGAGAGAGAAACTTGAGACAGCCGAGGCTCCCATGCACATTGCTGGATCAAGAAGGGGCTCAGGTGAGTATTAAGGGGGGGCACACAGAAGAATTTTGTTTAAAAAGCTACTTGTCCAAGGGACTAAATCGGGGTCCTAATCTATTTGTCCCTCATGACAATCTACTTGTCCTGATAAGGTATGTCTGAGGCTTTTAAAAACGAAAGGGGCTTTATGGCATATTTTTAACATTACACTGTTTATCTCCTTACCTCCCTGCCTGCCTCCAGCACTGCACCCAGTGATCTATCAGGGAGGGGAGAGACCTTACATTGCAATGAGCAGCGGTTGGATGCTCGTCAGGAAAGAGGAGTTTTGGGATTTCTTAACGCTCAGCAGAAGCGCATCTGCTAGGCAAGTAAATGAGGAGCCAGCCCCAATGAGAAAACAAAACAAAATCTTCATTCCTTTTGGTTACCCTTGTACACGGAAGCAGTACTAGTGCATACTGAGTAGATAAATGAAGCTCTGGTGTCTGTTTTGTTAAGTTGCAAAAAAAAGTTAACCATGCGAGTGGAGCCACCGTGGGACACGCACAGTAAAATGCACACCGCCCGTACTGAAAATCGCACACGCACCGAAAACCTCAGTTCTTGTACAGGCTGTGATTTTCAAAGTAGTGCAGGGACTTCTTTTCTACTTTTCACAGGGCAAGGCAGCCCATTCAAATGAATGGGCTGTTGTGCCTGTTCAAACTGCAGCTGTGTACATGTGAACCTAGCTTTAAAGGGCCCTGCACTTGCTGCCAGGGTGGCACTACATAGTTGCCAACATTTTAAAGGGACACTACCGCTGGGCTCATCGTAGCCTAATGAATTCAACGCTGTCATGTGGCATCAAGGAACATTTCTTTGTGAGGACTTTATTTAGATGCTAAATATATTTTCTCCAGTTAAAAATATTAAAAGAGGCCCAGAATTTATCAGAAGGAAAGGGTCTCCTGTGCTACTAGACGAGGATGACATTTGCAGGAGCTAAATCTGGGACTGTCACAGCCAATCAGAAATGTCTGCCCCTATATGACATGACCTGGCACAGCCATGAAGGAATGACAGGTAAGACAGGGTACCCATGCCAAGCTTGGCTGATGAGTAGACCGCACAGCAGCACAAGCTCCGGGTACCGCAGGCATGGTGGGGAGGGGAAGAGGAGCTGAGCACTGGCCCTCCCACCTCTCACAGTTACATCGAAGACCCCTCCTCCTCCTAATCCCTTAATGAAAAAGATCAGGCTTCTACCTAGGGGCGGACTGACCATTTGGAAACTCGGGCACTGCCCGAGGTCAGTAGGGGGCCCCATGAGATGCCCCTGGTACCTTTTTCATAGGCTTTTGTGAGTTTGGTCAAGGACACGGGGCCCTATGATCCCCTATTGCCCAGGGGCCCCATGAGTTGTCAGTCCGCCCCTGCTTCTACCCCACTCCAAGTCCCGCAGCTGGGCCTATGCTGGTGAACCTTCCTCCTCCTTCCTTCCTCCGGTTGGTTCACTTTCTCTTCTACATTCTCCAGTTACTCTGCCTTCCCTCCCCGTGAGCACGAGCAGGAGGCACGCTCCCTCCACGTCAGCAAGGAAGTGCAGAAACACACAGTAGGGTGTAGTATTCTGAGCTGGGACTGAGTGGACTGTGACAGGCTGACTATGACCCTAGCTGCCCAGTAAAAAAAAGTATACCCTGCTGCTTGCCCGGAGCATGTAGAAAAAGACCTCCTGCCCGCTACCCGGTCGGCCGATAGGAATTGCACATCCCTGAAAAGATTTTTTACCTTCATGCATAAAATGTAAAAAATCTTCAGCCTGTATAACCACTTTAAAGGATAAGTTCCCTTTTTAATAAAAAAATAAATAAATGCGGGTCAAAAAAATGTGCATTATTTTTTGTTGCAGGAGCACGTAGAGCATTGCACCAGCGATTAGCAGATCGCTGGTGCCATGCAGGTCTCCTGCAGACTTGTCAGTATATCTGGGTCCCCGTATGGGATGTATGGGCAAGCAGATACACGGACATGAAGAATCAGTGTACTACCATGGCGCTCCACAGCGCAGTGGTAGTTCATTGAGAACTACAAGACAACAGATGCTTAAGGCTGTTTGGAGTTGTGACGCAGCCGTGTGGGTGGAGCCCCACACAGCCGCACTGATTTCAAAAAGTGACATCTAATACGGGGAACTTCTCCACGTAGTGTGGTCACAGAGAGGGGGGGGGGGGGAATTGGGCAGTGGCTGCAGCACTGGAAACATGTTACATGTTCCACCCTAAAAACGGGTAGAACATGTATCATGTTCCTGAAGTTGAACTTATCCTTTAAGCTGCATCAGCGGGAAGCAGCCTACCTTCTTTATGGCTCTAATCTTCATAACAAAATTCAGCCTATGCACAGGTTTACCCTTCAGATCCCAACAGCAGCCAATAGATTATAAAAAGCCATAAATCTGAGCCTGAAATTGCAGGCAAGTAAATTGTCTAAAACTCGCTGCACTGAATTTTATAAAGCCCAGATATAATAAAGAAAAAAAGTGCATAATGCTGCATTGTTTCTGAGTAGTATAAATATTTCAGTAAATTGACTTTGCTTTTTTGCCTGGAATTGCTTTTCTTTGCAATATTCAGTATAGCCACACCATGTGCATTTATTGTAGAAACAGCATTCAAAGACCGTACTTAAAAAGTCTCCCCTACCAGCCCAGTGACTTTTTATTTAGACTGCAGTTTAAATCAAACCTCATCTCAGGTTTATTCAACACAGTGTCATAAACTTGATGTGTAGCAGTCTTTCTTGCCGAGGAGCCTTTCAAATAACTTTCAGATCTAATAATACATTCACAGTTTACGAGACATTATTGTGGTCAGTCTATTGTAGATATAAGAAAAAAAAAGAGAATAAAGAGTGTGATTGGACTTACCGTATTTGAAATCCAAGGCCTATCTATACTACAATATTATTTTCAGTTATAATGAAATATATAATATTAATGTCCAGAAAAGGAATTTAATACAATATAATTAATAAATAGAATATGTCCAGAATTATAATATGCCCAGGAAAGAAATTCAGACAGTATAAATCGCAGTGCCCACTCACATTCATTGAAAAAGTGACCCCTTTACATTGATGGTCAGTGGAGACAATTTCCACTTAAACTGTTGGTAGTTGAAGTGGGAAGAGTTCTTTTTACATTTTTGTTTAAGGGGGAAATGCCCTTCTTATAGATATCTGAAAGGATGGTAGTTTATCTGAGAGGCATAAATTGGTCATGGAACCCCTATAGCAACCTCTGGAGGACCTCAGGTTGAGAAAGGCTGCTCTTTTACAAAACATTTATGACTAAAGTTAAAGTGGTTCTAAAGGTAAATATTTTTTTTACCCTAATGCATTCTATGCAGTAAGGTAAAGAACCTTTTCTGTGCATATGTACTCTTTTCAATATATGTACTGTTGACCTTTGTCACTGAACCTGAAAGTGAAATCAAACATTTTAGAGTTCTCCCTAGAACAAAAGGTAACAGGAAATCTTCCTATGGGGCACCTGTTCAGGGGACAATTACCCACACGTGAAGGTTTCCACTTCCTTTTGCACCTCTTGGACAGGAAGGTAAAGGAAATTTCCTTAATTGTACACAGACAGCATAAATAACCTGACAGGGATTTTAACCGTTCCCTACCCAATCTAAAACATAACAAAAAAAAAAAAGTTTGACTATGCAAACTCTTTAAATGCCATTACTTATTTTTTCTCTTTAAACAAGCATTTTTAAACTTAGTTTCAGTGTAAACTACATTATAAATGTTTGTGACATCATCAATGTAAAGCCAGGGCACAGTGAGGAGGGATCAATGAAGTGCATGGCACTTTCCTTACTGATTGGCACCACTGTATCATTCTAAAATTACCATCATGCAATAGGAGTTAGACCATTCAGTGTGTGCAAATTTAGGCAGGTCTGTGGCTGAGCAGACCTGGCCTGTCAGTCAAGGTATGATGTGAGGGACAGACCAGGAGTCTCCTGGCCTGTCAATCAACATAGGCAGTGAGAGTGGGCTGCAAAGATTGGGAATCTGAGATGCCTAGATCCTGCCACTACAGCAGGCGAGGGGCGCAATGATGTAGCTTCTGTTAGAAATGAATTACAATTGGAAAGTTGAAACAATCCGTGGACCAGGAACAAGCAGACACAGCGGCAGAATATTAAGGACACTGAGCCCTGGAAACAATCCATACAATAAAAGATAGATTAGTGGCTGCTGTATTTTTTTTTTTGTTTTTTTTTTTTTGCAAAAAGACCATTTTTTTTTAAAAAAAAAAAAAAAGTAGGAACTGACGTTTAGAATACAGATTAGAAATTTTTGTCTGAAGCTTTAAATCGATTTCACAAACAAGATGACTGAATGTACTAAAAGTGCATATCTAACACAGTAGATTTTGCGAAAACCAATTTGGTGTTTAGAACAATATGAAAAACTGCAGGTATGAAGCAGAGACTCACCACTTGCCTCTCCCTCCCTCCTGGATCTTGGCACATTGCGGGTCACAGTGTTTGGAAAGCCTTTGTTGGTGACATTTTGCAAAGCTGGCTGCTGACCAGTTGCTAAAGTCCACGCAAGACGCGTTCCCAACTGTTGACGGAGGGAATCACCAACTGCTGAGGTTTGATATGACTGCCTGGAAGAAAAAAATAGAAAAAACAGAATGTGCTTGTTAATGTCAAGTCCCTGCCATGAAATTAATGTCCTTTTTTTTTTTTTTTAAATCTATCCAGTTGCTGCTGACAAACAGTACATACACTGTAATCTCAAGTTTAAATCACTCCATACCAACCACTGTACGTAACATATTCCAAAAAAACCAACACAAGGAAAAAAGTTGCTAATAGTTTGAAAGCTACAATTTCTCTGATAGGCTATATCTGTGCAATAGGAATGTGTGGCAGGTGGCTGTGAACCCACTGCAGGTATGTACAGCCAACTCTAAGTTCCTGCACTCCAAACCTATTAGATTTGTTTTGGTTTCAATCTTTGTTTAAAAGTTTTATATTATATAAACATTTTACATACAAAAACATACCAAAAATACATTATAGGACATTTTGCAAGATATTTTTAATGACTATTATCCTGGTTTTATTATTAGTGTGTTCTAAGTCTGCGTACCTGGTGTAAAAAAGAGACAACATTGCTGCATATGCAAAATGATGTCAGGGTAAACAGAGGTACTTTCTTGGTTCACTCTTCAGCCATTTGGTTTTGAAACAAAATTAGCTGTAGGTAGGAAGGCCCCCTTGCTCCCATAATGTGGACAGCCAGTGATCATTTTTGTAGGTCCTTATTCTACTTCCAGCTAAAGGGAAGTATCTTTTCTATGAGCAAAAAAAAAAAAAAATCTATGAAGGTGCTAGGGCAACCAATAACTCACATTGCTCTAACTTTTCCCCACTAGGTGCATACACTCAAAAATACTTATAGAGTATAATCGTTAAAAAAACAGACTTCAAAAAACGTTTATATTATGCTACTAAACATTTCACAAACATAACTGCAAATGCGTGACCATTCATTTACAGAGTAATGTTGGGAGTGGTTTAATTGTTTTGTGTTGTCATTTTGTTGGTGTGGTTTTAACCAGTTGAGACACCTGTGCCATTTTCAAATGGTATTGTGATAACAGTGATTTGCCTCAGTGACATTTTTTTTTTTTTTTTTTAACCGCTTGCCGCCCTGCCACTGTGTATATACGTGTGCAGGGCGGCAGTGGAGCGCAAAACCACGTTTAAAAACGGGTTTCCGCGCTCCCGACACTTTCGCCGGCAGGGGCGCGCAGCGCGCGCGTGCTCCCCCTGCCGACCCGCGGGTGACACTATTTGATCCAGGAGGGATCAATCATTAGATTTCAGCCAGTGATTTCTGGCTGAAATCACATGATCGGTCCCTGTCCTATCCTGTCCTGTGTTGACATACACAGGGCAGGATATGATGTCATTCTTCTCTGCCTGGACACATTCCGTTCCAGACAGAGAAGAAGACATCCAAAAAGTGAGTACACAAGCACTACACTACAGTTAGAACACTCTAGGACACATTTAAACCCCCTGATCGCCCCCCCCCCCTCCAGTTAACCCTTCACTGCCCTGTCACCAGTGTTACTGATCAGTGAAGCGATTTTTTTTACTGATCAGTGTCGCTGGCGACTTCCGATAGAGTTAGCGCCCCTCCCAGATAGCGCCAATTGCCCGCCAGTACACCCAGTAATCCCGTTTAACCCCCTGATCGCCCCCCCCCCCTCCAGTTAACCCCTTCACTGCCCTGTCACCCAGTGTCACTGATCAGTGAACCAATTTTTACTGATCACTGTATCAGTGTCGCTGGCGACTTCCGATAGAGTTAGCGCCCCTCCCAGATAGCGCCAGTTTTCCCGCCAGTACACCAGTAAAATTTAACCCCTTGATCGCCCCCCCCCTCCAGTTAACCCCTTCACTGCCCTGTCACCCAGTGTCACTGATCAGTGAACCAATTTTTACAGATCACTGTATCAGTGTCGCTGGCGACTTCCGAAGAGTTAGGCGGGGGGGGGGGGGGGTGGGGGGGGGAGTTAGGCGCCCGTCCCAGATAGCACCAGAATTGCCCGCCAGTACACCAGTAATCCCGTTTAGAACCCCTTGATCGCCCCCCCCCCCCCCCTCCAGTTTAACCCCTTCACTGCCCTGTCACCCAGTGTCACTGATCAGTGAAATCCAATTTTTACAATCACTGTATCAGTGTCGCTGGCGACTTCCGATAGAGTTAGCGCCCCTCCCAGATAGCGCCAGAATTGCCCGCCAGTACAACCAGTAACCCCGTTTAAAACCCTTTGATCGCCCCCCCCCCCCTCCAGTTAAACCCTTCACTGCCCTGTCACCAGTGTCACTGATCAGTGAACCAATTTTTACAGATCACTGTATCATCACTGATTCAGTGTCGCTGGCGACTTCCCGATAGAGTTAGCGCCCCTCCCAGTCCCAGAAAGCACCAGATTGCCCTGCCAGTACACCAGTAATCCGTTAAAAAGATAGCACCCCCTTGATCGCGCCCCCCCCCCCCCTCCAGTTAACCCCTTTCACTGCCCTGTCACCCAGTGTCACTGATCAGTGAACCAATTTTTTACAGATCACTGTATCAGTGTCGCTGGCGACTTCCGATAGAGTTAGCGCCCCTTCCAGATAGCGCCAGATTGCCCGCCAGTACACCAGTAATCCCCGTTTAAAACCCTTGATTGCCCCCCCCCCCCCCCAGTTAAACCCTTCACTGCCCTGTCACCCAGTGTCACTGATCAGTTAACAATTTTTACTGATCACTGTATCAGTGTCGCTGGCGACTTCCGATAGAGTTAGCGCCCCTCCCAGATAGCGCCAGTTTGGCCAGTTTGCAACCAGTAATCCCGTTTAACCCCTTGATTGCCCCCCCCCCTCCAGTTTTATTAACCCCTGCACTGCCTGTCACCAGTGTCACTGATCAGTGAAAAATTTTTACTGATCACTGTATCAGTGTCGCTGGCGACTTCCGATAGTGTTAGAGCCCCCTCCTAGATAGCGCCAGTTTCTGCCCGCTAATGCACGGGATTTTTTTTACCAAAAAACATGTAGCAGAATCCGATAATGGTTAGCACATTTTGGCTTAAAATTTATGACTAACTTTGAGTTTACGATATATTTTTTTTATAGCTGAAAGTAGAAAATATATTGTTTTTTTTCAAAATTTTTGTGTTTTTTTTTGTTTATAGACTTCAAAAAATAAAAAGCGCACAGGTGATCAAAATACCACCAAAAGAAAGCTCTATTTGTGTGAAAAAAGGACGTAATTTTCGTTTGGGTGCAGCATTGCATGACCGCGCAATTATCATTTGAGTTAGTGCAGCGCTATATAGCAAAAAAAGGCATAAATTACAGTATCTATACCATAGTTTGTAGACGCTATAACTTTCACCAAAAAGCAATCAATATACACTTATTGGGATTTTTTTTTACCAAAAACATGTAGCAGAATACATTTTGGCTTAAATTTATGACTAACTTTGAGTTTACGATATATTTTTTATAGCTCAAAGTAGAAAATATTGTTTTTTATCAAATTTTCGTGGTTTTTTTTTGTTTATAGCGCAAAAAATAAAAAGCGCACAGGTGATCAAATACCACCAAAAGAAAGCTCTTTTGTGTGAAAAAAAGGACGTAAATTTTGTTTGGGTATAGCATTGCATGACCGCGCAATTATCATTTTAATTAGTGCAGCGCCAAACAGCAAAAAAAAGGCCTGGTCATTAAGGGGGGTAAATCCTCTGGGGCTCAAGTGGTTTTAAACAACACCAGGTGTCAGCGGCTCCTGCAGGTCCCAGCAAGGGTGCAGGCCAGAACCGCCAGCTGTCTGTGACAACAAGCATTTAGCACTAAGCCCAGGGGCTAAAGCTCCAGAAGTTATTTCAATTCTGATGCATTTACAGGTTTATTCATAGAATGGACAAGGCCAAAATCTGTCCTTTCAGAGTGCCTAAGGCCAGACCTTATTGTAGGAATGCATTACCCAGAGTAATCTCTGGGATTGAAGTGCATGTATATACAACAAAGAAGGGTTTCCAGGTATGATAACTGATCTATCACGCCCTATACACAGTGCAGAAGTGTGATAAGTCATCTGCTGTGTTCACCTGAAACAGTGGAAGATAGATCATTGCACCAAGCCAGCCATGGTACCATGTGATTGCTGTGACTAATCACAGTGATCACATCAATTGGATAGAATGACTTTCATTGACAGCCAATCATTGCATACTATTGTGATCTCTGGGATTGGTCACAGTGATCACAGGGCACAGAAAAGGCCAATCACAGTGCATCTGTACATGCTATGTGATAGTTGTGGCCAATCACAGCTATCACAATTGTACGCAATGTTACATGAATGGATGCCATTCATAAAAACATTTGCTTATAACAGTGACCATCAATCAATCCTGGTGTAAAAAAAAAAAATCCTGATTACCTCCCTAGAGCAGTACAGTGTCACTATGGTGACACTGTACTGCTCTGGTCACAGTATGAAAACATTTTTTAAAAGAAAGAAAAACAATTTGTAAATAACCCACATCAGTCATATGATGACTTTGAACTGCTCTGATGACATCTCATGAAAAAAAAGTGTAAAAGAAAAGAAAAACAATTTGTAAAAAACCCACACCAGTCATATGATGACTTAGTACTGCTCTGATTCATGTATGTAAAAAAAAAAAAAAATGTGAAAGTTTGTGACAAAAACATTACAACATCTTCCTAAATACGGCGGACTGTCTACTTTACAAGGAGGGGGTCATTTGGGGGGTATGTGTACTTTCCTGGCATTTAAGGGCCTCTTTTCACTTTATATATAAATATATATATATATATATATATATATATATATATATATATTACACCCCTCACATTTTTGTAAATATTTTATATCTTTTCATGTGACAGTAGTGAGTAGTGTAAAGTAGTGAGTGTATAGCTTGTATAAAAGTGTATAACAGTGTAAATTTGCTGTCCCCTCAAAACTCAACACACAGCCATCAATGTCTAAACTGCTGGCAACAACAGTGAGTACACCCCTAAGTGAAAATGCCCAAAGTGGGTCCAAAGTGTTCAGTATTTAGGTGGTTAATGATAAGTTCACATTTGCACATTCCTGCAATACACAGATTCCAGATTAGTTAACAATGCAATATATCAGAATGTGGTCAGGATATCTGTTGAAACACTTCTGAGATAAGTCACTGTGTTTTCAGTCAGTTTAAGGAAACAAAAAGACTTGAATTGAAAAAGACTACTAAACAGATACAGAAACCCAGATTGTAAAAACAAACTCAACAACAAGGTCATTAGATTGATCTTACTGATGTAAAAACACACCCAATAAGAAATGAGAATAAAGTCTTTCATTATAACAGTGGGGAAGGGTTAAGATCCCCCATTGGAAAAGGTAGAACTGCAGTTTGTATTCCTGTCAGAGATTTTCCACCAACTTTAAAATCAATGCAACAGGAACAAATACAGCAAAACAACAAAACCCTACACCAATCTATCCAAAACAACAAGCTTCCAGAATACTACTAAACAAACACATACAGTATACGTATATCTTAATAAAAAGAATTAAAAACACAGATTGACATTACTTCTCTTGTAACCTTGAGCTGCTATATTTTATTATATAGAGAGGAACAGTGCTGTGGAATAATATCAACTTACCCAGGAACAAAGGTCTGTGGTGGTGGAGTTGGCCCATTTAAAGAGTACATTCCAATACTGCCAATCCCACTACTGCCCAAAGCAGCAGAATTCTGCACAGACTGAACATTGCGGTCCTGGTAATTTAGTTGGAGGGTCTGTGGCCTTGCGTAGTAGTATGGTGTTGAATGAGCATCACGAGGCAGGGCCTGAGCAAACAGTGTTGCATAGTTGGATACCTGAAACAAACAAAATTACACATATTATGCTATCGCAAGAACCCCTAAAAGAAACTCTTACAACAAATATAAAGAAAAGGTAATTGTTTAAAATACATTTTTCAATAATAGAAAAACAATTTGCAACTTCTAACTTTTCCCTCTGAAAACACTGGTTTCCTTGCTGAGAATTGACTTGGAATGACTCTGCAGATCAGTAGTCAGCACAAAGTCTGAAGCTTTTATCCATATACATTTTCAAAGACAATACCTTGAAGGAAAGGCTAGCAATGGCCATAACGATTTTTCTTTTCAAAAACCGTGGAAGCTGCATTTACCAGAATGATTCAGTACCTTTCCCCTGTAGAACCGAGTTCAAATCCCACCAGGGACAGTCCGCACAGAATTTGCATTTTCCCAAAACATTGTATGTGTGTAGATTTGTTTCCTGCCACATTCCACAATAATACAGGTAGGTACTGGTATGAGACTTAAAGCTGAATTCGAGGTACATTTTGTTTTCTTGCATAGTCACATTAATCTGGTCTAGACCAATATAACTATGCATGTACTATACCTGGCCAATCCCTGGGGAAGCTAGTGATCACTGTAGTAAGCACCACATTTTTTTTTTTTTTTTTTTAAGTCCGCAAACGTGCAACTATAACGAAAAAAACCCGTAAGTGTTCACAAAAAATGTGCAAGTGCAAAACACCAAACGAAAAAAAGTGCACTTAGGGGTGTGTTTGTCCTACCCCCGGAAGGGTTGGACCGTTCACCCGATCCCCCGGGGCACGAAGCTCCTGACAGGGACAAGGTTCCCATTTGGTCCTCCTGGCCAAAAGGCCTGGTGGACCACCGTTCCTTAGCCCACCAAAAGCCGGACATCCAGTACTAGGCTTTCTCCCGAAGAGAAAACCCCCTAGGGATCAGGGGAGGAAGGAACCGTAGGGCCACACATCCTCCCCCTAGACTTCAGGTAAGGCCCGAGGACCCACACCCTCCATCCGTGAAAAACACACACATAAGAACAGAAAAAGTGAAAGACGTGGGAGTGGTTAAATTAAATAAATAGAAAATAAAAAGTGGTACCGTGCCAAATAGTGCACAGACCAGGCCCTGAGGCCTGTAGCAAAAATTGCCCCGGACTTAGCCAAAAAGACCTGGTCCTTAGGGCGCTGTGCAAAAAGAAGTGAAAAACATGGCCATGTGTCATCTTCACACCGTGGGGTCCCACACCCAGGTGTTACTAGTGACACCCCTGAGAGCGTCTTCCCCAGGGGGCACTGAGGCATGCGGACTTTTTGCGTCCCCAGCCCCAGGCCAGACCAAGGTTCCGTCGAATCAGGAGGTACTGGGTCTTTCCAGCTTCACCAGAGGAATTACTCCAAGGCCCCAGAGCTCATCATGGCACCCTGGTTTCTGTCCCCTCCGGTTCAGCCTTCCGGACCCCCATCATACAGTGAGGGTACTATACAACAACCATCCCCGCAAAGCTAGAATGGTCGGGAGCACCCCCACTGGACACTGATAAGAACAGGTACTACACTTGATCTTAGAGTAAGCACCACAACTACATTTGCCCCTGGGATCCCGTTACTAAGCTAAGTGGCTGCCCTGCTGCTTAGTGAACACAGGTGGTCGCTGGCTCAGCATGGGCACCATTTGGAGAACACTTTACATTCTCTCAATGTATGCAAAACATTCTCCAATTGCACACACTGCCTTCTAGCATTTTTTATTTTACATAAATTCTTTACACTTGCAATGGTTTAAAAGTAATCTGGCATTCATAGTGTACACAGTTACAGTTTTCATCTATAGCAACCTGTAAAGAAAAGAAAAAAAAAAAAAAAAAAAAAAATAATCAGTATTTTTGATTGCGAGGGGTGGGGGACCTCTAGGAATCAGGCTAAGTTTGAGTACCAATAAGCTTTAATATATCATTTTACACTTAGAACACTACTGCATGAAAGTATAATTCATTATTTTGCTTATAAACCCAGATCTTACCTTACCTTAAATTGGACAAAAAATGCACAGTTGAGCTGCGTTCTTTCCGTCCACCAACCACGCCCCCTACAACAGGCAGCAGACAGGGATGTTTACATGCTACAGCCACAACGCTTCATCTCGTGTCAAAGTGGACTCAACCTGTATCAATTTGCGGGGGTAGCAAGTTTGCCAAAAGCTACACATTCAAGTCAATGGGGAAGCACTGCAGGCATCCCGCAACTGCACAGAGTTACAGAACATTCATTGGCAAAAATGGGGTTAAAACAGTTTGTGAAGGAAGAGACTAATCACTTCATCACTGCCTGTCAGTAGACTCTAGAGTGTGACACGAACATGGATCGGGCTTCAGAGGCAAGGGAGATTTAGACACATGTCTAAATCTACCCTTAAAAATGTTATTCGTGCCTAAGCAGTAATTTAAAAATGTACTTTGTCTTAAAGTTGTCTTGAAAAATAGCAGTGCACTTCCGGGCACGCCTGTGCCTACTGTCTCATAGCTGCATATCTGCAGTGTGAGGCACTGCTGCCTCTGACTACTGGTTACTGGAAATTCAGAGAGGTCATTACAGTGCTGCTCACGGTTCTCCTTGCTGCAGACTCTGACATGAAGAAGCAAAACCCTGCCTCCATACAGAGACACAGTACAGCACAGGTCAGTGATTGGAAAAGATCAACTGAGAGGCAATATTGGTAACTAGTCTTCTGGCTACTTGTCAATGCCTATGAATTGTGTTGGCCTTGGACCCTTTGTTACTTGGGGAATTTTTACAATAAATATATATATTGATAAAAATGACATTGATGTAATTTCTCTAGGCTAAAGGAACAGAGTCACAAGACATTAGACTGCTTAAAGCTGATAAAAAGTGTTTGCGGGATTGAACGTGTTTGTGACATCTACTGTAAAAATGTTACATTAGACTGCCTAGATTAGATAAGAACCTGTCTGTGCATTTAAAGATGTTTACTTGTTTGAGCAGTTAGAAATCTTTAAGTTTAGGGTAGATAAGATGCTGATTTGAAGCAAAAGTGTGATATTGCGAGAGAAGATGTTGTTTGTTCAGTAATGTGGCTGGGTGTGACTCTGTTATCCTCATGGGACTTTTCTGCTAGCTCCTCCCGGAGTGAGCGTGGTGCCCGCCCAATTCGGGAAAGTTGTCAGAAGCCAGAAGGGGATATTTAAACAGGGAGCCTGAATGCAGTCAGTTGGGAGCCTTCCTATGCGAAAGGGTACGCTCTGACGCTGGGACTCTTGCCAAGGCTATATGGGCTTATCAATTAGTTGCGTTTATGGCTTCTGCGCGACCCCTGAGCAATTTGGTTCCAATGGGGTCTGTTCCTTCCCGTCTTCCTGTAGCTTTGGTAATGTATTAATTCTATGTGGTGACGCTGTCAAAAGATGCATCTATTTTATTCTGTAATGCTCACATTATTATTGGTGTGTGTTTATTATGCAGCTTGTGATGACAATAAGATATATCCTCCTGTGTGTCATGTGATAATAAAAGTGGAGGTTTTGACAGTGCAAGAATATTGCAGGTGGATTCTGTTATTTCTTGGAGTGGGTCTCTCACATGATTAGAATAATGGTGAAAATGCTGGTTAAACGTACCTGTGTATTGTGTGTGTGACTACCTGTGTATATGACTTGCTTTTAGTTATTGTGTCCAGCATTGCATTACACTACTGCTTGCCTTATTTTGGGCACAACTTCTACAGTTTAGTTACTCTTTAAAAAGTACCACAATATATTGAAAAGCACTCTTCTCTATGCTTACCTTGTTTGGTTGTTTACGTGGATCTTCACTAAGGCTAAGCAAAAGATAGAGAATTGCCCATCTGTTTTTCACCACTCCCTAAAACAGCAGTACAAAAGAAAGGGTTTGTTGATTGACATGTTTTAAAAATACACCACATTTTGAAAGAATGTCATTTAATGCAGATGACCCAATGAAGTGCATCTGTGACCTGGCTTGAACATTATTACATATTTTTACCAAACAGTAAAAGAGTTTTAAAACAAGATATCCATGACCTCTGAAAAAAACATAAAAGCAGAGAACAAGGCGCAAAGTCAACGTGCATCAAAAACAAAACAGATTTTTAAAAACTATATTAAAATGCGTTCATAAGCAAACTGGTGTAGAGCAGCTTATCTCAAGTCTGTGCAGTATTCGCATTATCCCTGAATCTTGGCAAATGAGAAAGCCTCTTGAATATGTTGCTCGTGAGCCTCTTTTGTGCCCCATGGCCATTGTATATAAACACTCTAGATTCTGTCTTACAGTTCTATTTACCTTTGTATCCTCTACCTGTTTATGTTAATAAGGGACCACCATTTAACATCATAGCTGCTATAATAGATCCCTACAGTGACTGTAAACTGTTGGCTTGTTAAAGGGAGAGGAGCTCCTGAAACACGTAGCCATAGCAAAGCCACTGCCTCCTCACAACCTGAAAGAGTGACCTGGCTCCAAGTTGCAATGATACTGAGGACACAGTAATTTCTCCAGCATTTGACAGGTTTGATGGTTTGCCCCTGAAAGGCTTTTCACACAGTCTCCTCAAGGGTCACAGAGGACCGTCAAATTTTCTTCACAGGCTTGAGATGAGCTGCTGTAGTCCTGATTGCTTACAAGTGCATTTTATATTTTTTTTAATGTATAGAGGTCACCTTGCACCCTGTTCTCTGCTTTTAGGTCTTATTTAGTATATGGATCTTTCCTGTCCTGTTGTGAATAATCAGCATAACTAATGTATCAAATAAATGTTAGGATTGGTCATATCGTGACTCTTACTCCGTACTACTTTAGAAACCCTGAAGCACAAGTTACAATGGGTTTTTTTTTTGTTTTTATTTGTGTGGACACATCCTGTCTAGCTTCTTATACTGTAAAGAAATTTATCCTTGAAGATCCTCAGAGATCAAAAAGATTCAGTTCCACTCAGTTTCTAAGGCTGAATTCACCCATTTGCATTATAGCTTGATATGTTTTCCATTGAAATTAAAGGAAATGTATTTTTTTTTGTAGCTGAATTCACAAACTGCCACCTCACCTCCCCTTATTGTATAAATCAGTTCTTTACATATCCTATGTCAAATTGACAGTGGTGCATCATATTCCAAACATCTGACAATCTATATATATTAAAAAAAAAAAAAAAATCTGAACGTAAAAAAAAATTATTTTTACTATCATAAGAACTGGAGTACCCCATATCCAGCCAGCAATTTAAAATTCTGTACTTCTGACTCCAGCACCAACTTTTTACTATTTTGCAATTACACAGTGTACATAAGTATCATAAGAAACATTACAAGCATTATTATTATTATTATACAGTGTTTATATAGCGCCAAAGGGTTTGCTCAGCGCTGTACATTAACGAGGGGGACAGAACATGAGACAATACAGTACAATACAATACAGAGGGGTTCGAGAGCCCTGCTCTTTCGAGCTTACAATCTAGGAGGGAGGGGATAGTGGTACAAGAGGAAGTGGCTGTGGGGGATGGAGTGGTAGGAGGAATGGAGGAGATCGGTTGTTAGGTGAGGGTGGGGTAGGCTTCCCTGAAGAGATGGGTTTTCAGGGTGCGCCTGAAGGTGAGGAGGGTAGGTGACAGTCTAATGGATTGGGGTAGGGAGTTCCAGAGGATGGGGGAAGTCCTGGAGAAGTCCTGCAGTTGGGCATGGGAGGAGGAGACCAGGGAGCTGGAGAGTAGGAGGTCCTGTGAGGAGCGAAGGGCACGGGTAGTGTGGTATTTGGGTATCAGGTCAGTTAAGTAGTTTGGGGCAGCGTTGTGAATGGCTTTGTATGTCAGAGTTAGTAATTTGAATTTAATGCGTTGGGCAATCGGAGCCAGTGAAGGGATTGGCAGAGGGGGGTGGCAGATGTGGAGCGGTTGGTGAGGTGGATGAGTCTAGCCGCTGAGTTCAGGATAGACTGGAGTGGGGATAGCATTTGTTTGGGTAGGCCAGTGAGAAGGGAGTTGCAGTAGTCCAGGCGTGAGATAATGAGGGAGTGTACGAGTTGTTTAGTAGTGTCTGGGGTGAGGAACGTATGTATCTTGGAGATGTTGCGGAGGTGGAGCCTGCATGACTTTGATAGTGATTGGACATGAGGTTGGAAGGAAAGGTTTGAGTCCAGGGTGACACCCAGGACTTTGGCGTGTGGGGTGGGATTGATGGTGGCGTTGCTTAGTCGTGATGGAGAGGATGGGGGGGGGGGGGGGCAAAGACTGGGGGGAAAACTAGGAGCTTGGTTTTGGACAGGTTTAACTTGAGAAAATGGAGCGACATCCAGTCTGATATGTCATTCAGGAGGTGGGCGATGCAGGCGGAGAGAGAGGGGGTGAGGTGAGGGGTGGAGAGGTAAATTTGTGTGTCGTCGGCATAGAGGTGATAGTTGAAGCCGTGGGAGTGTATCAGTTTGCCAAGGGAGGAGGTGTAGATGGAGAAGAGGAGGGGTCCAAGGACAGAGCCTTGGGGGACTCCAACAGAGAGGGGGAGAGAGGGGGAGGTGGCAGCTTTATAGGTAATGCTGAAGGAGCGTTGGGATAGGTAGGAGGAACCAGGAGAGAGCAGCGTCCCTGATGCCAAAGGAGTGCAGTTTAGTAAGGAGGAGGGGGTGTCGACGGTGTCGAAGGCCACTGAGAGGTCGAGGATCAGGAGGACTGAGTAGTGGCCATTAGCTTTGGCGGTTAGCAGGTCGTTAGTGATTTTGAGTAGGGCGGTTTCGGTGGAGTGTAGGGGACGGAAGCCAGACTGTAGTGGATCAAGGAGGTTGTTATCAGTGAGGTGGGCTCTTAGGCGATTGTAGACTAAGTGCTCAAGGAGCTTGGAAGTGAATGGCAGCAGGGAGATGGGTCTAAGTTTGTTTAGGTCAGTGGGGTCAAGGGAGGGTTTTTTGAGTATGGGGGTGATGTGTGCTGCTTTAGGGGGGAGGGGAATGCGCCAGTAGAGAGGGAGAGATTGAAGATGTGGGTGAGGGAGCGAATGATGGAGGAGGGGGGGACTGGAGGAGTTGTGAGGGGATAGGGTCTAGGGGGCAAGTGGTGAGGCGGGCTTCAGTGAAGACCTTAGTGACCTCCTCAGTGGTAGCAAGGCTGAAGGAGCGGAGTGTTGGGGAGGTTATAGTGTGCGGGGCGTTAGGTATGGTGGGGGGCAGTGCGGTTGCAAGGTCAGAGGAGGGGAGAGTTGAGGGGGTGATGGAGGGAGGGAGGCTAGGTGGAGAGGTAGATTGCGAACTGACAATGTCCTTACGGATTGCGTCAATCTTGTTTTGGAAATGATTGGCAATCTCATAGGCGGTGAGTGAGGTACTAAGTGGAGGTGGGGGAGAGCAAGGATTTGAAAGTGGAGAGAGCCGGCGAGGACAGGTGGAGAGGGTGTTGATGAGGGTTACGAAATATGCTTGCTTGGTGGCGTGGAGGGAGGTGGTGTAGGTGAGGAAGGCGGATTTGTAGAGGGAGAACGCTAGTGGGGATCTGGTTTGCGCCATGATCGCTCCAGCGCGCGAGTGCGTCGTTTGAGACATTTTGTATGGTCGTTCTGCCAGGGTTGAAGCGGTCGGGATCTGATGTTACGCGTGATTAGGGGTGCCAGGGAGTCTAGGGCAGCTGACAGTGAGTCGTACGCGGTAGTGGCCAGGTCAGGGCATGTCAGTGGAAGGATACTGTCGTACAGACGGTCAGCTGCCGAGTGGAGATGGGCCGGGTTCAGGTTGCGGAGGTTACGGCTGGTGATGGTTTGACGCTTTGGAGGGGGGGGAGTTAGAGGAGGGGGAGATGGAAAACGTGAGGGAGGTGGTGGTCAGAGAGGGGGAAGGGTGTGTTAGTGAAGTTGTGGAGGGTGCAGAGGTGAGAGAAAACGAGGTCCAGGGTGTTCCCATCGGTGTGGGTGGAGGACTGTGTGCACTGTGTGAGCGCGAAAGAGGAGGTTAGGAGGAGGCGTTGGGAAGTAGCCAGGTTGTTGACGTTGATGGGGATATTGAAATCCCCTAGGATGATGGTCCGTAGCTCAGAAGACAGGAAGAAGGGAAGCCAGGCGGCAAAGTCGTCCAGGGGGGATACGGATCCAGGAGGCCGATAGATCACCGATATCCTCAGGGGGGTGGGAGAGAAGAACCAGATGCAGTGGGCCTCGAAGGAGGAGAAGGATAAAGAAGGGGGGTTAGGGAGGACCTGGAAGGTGCTCAGCGGTGACAGGAGCATGCCGACCCCACCGCCTCTGCGACCACTCTGTCTGGGTGAGTGGGTCCAGACGAGGCCTCCATAGGTGAGTGCTGCAAGGGAGGTGGAATCAGTGGCTTGGATCCAGATTAAAGGAATAAAGTATCAATTTATTCCTTTAATCTGTAACCATACTGAAGTGGTGAATGAATGGAACACATTTTTAAGGATGATTGTATATGCTCCTGTCCTCTTGCGTATCACATTAAGGCACAGGAATGAATAACTTTAAAACTGCAGACACTAACCATTTACATTATTTAAATACCATTCCTGAACTTATCTTCTTACCGTATATGCAGCAAGCAGGGGCGGACTGATAACTCATGGGGCCCCCAGGGCAATAGGGGATCATGGGGCCCCTGTGTCCTTGCGCCAAACTCAAAAAAAACTTTGAGAAAGGTACCAGGGGCATCTCATGGGGCCCCCTACCGACCCGGGCCCTCGGGCAGTGCCCGAGTTTCCAAATGGTCAGGCCGCCCCTGGCAGCAAGCCTTTTGTGCTATTTTGTTGCATACTACACAAGCCCAATGTTCAACAAATGTGCAACCAGCACCTAATCACACTTTGGTGGAGATGTACTAAAACTGGTGCACACAGAATCTTTTTTTTTGCACTGTTAGTG